CAATTTTCTCCCCTCTACCTCTTATGCCTTCCTCAAATATATTTCCTCCTTTGGCTCTCAAAACTAAATGCTATTCTGGTGTAGCCACAACCCTTCCAAATACTTAGTTCTATACCCTATACTGCTTCTTCTTCCTTTTCCTGGTGATAATTGTGGACATCTCAAGGGTCAGACACTAGACTCATTTCTTTATTTTCTGTCTGGTTCTACCTGAGTAGTTGTCACAGCTTCAACACTCACCACCATACTGATAACCCCCAAATCTGTAGCCCTGACCTCTCACCTGAGGTCCTTTCCTTTATCTTTGTCTGCCTACCACTGGAGACTCCTGCCTAGATTTCTCACTACTAAATATCCCAAACCAACCTCCTCAGATTCCTCTCTATGAAGGAAGTGTGTGTGTGTGTGTGTGGTGTGTATTTTACTTGCTTTTGGCATCATTGCAAAGAGTAATGATAATGATAATAGCTACCATATTTTGATTACCTACTATATGTCAGGCACTTTATATTTGTCAGCTCATCTAATCCTTACAACAACCCTGCAAGGTAGGAATTTTCTGCATTTTTAGAGGTAAGGAAACTGAGGCTCAGAGAATTTAAACAATCTGCCCCAGATCACAAAGCTAGTATGTGGGATTCAAAATCAAGGTTTCTAGCTCCCAAACTCATGTTCTTTCTGCTATTTCACCCAACGATCACATTTTATTTTATTTTATTTTTAATTTTAATTTTTAATTTTTGGCCGTGCCATGTGGATTGTGGGATCTTAGTTCCCTGACCAGGGATTGAACCTGGGCCCTCAGCAGTGAGAACATGGAGTCCTAAGCACTGGACCGCCAGGGAATTTCCTTTTTTTTTTTTTCACATTTTAAAATTTATAGCTAGATTCCTTGAAAGATGGGGAACATTAATGATCTCTATGAGTCTCTGGAATTTGGTGTGGTTTGCATGCCTCCATTGACAATGTATGCCACATAACAGGTGGTGATTAAGCATAGAGGCTTTGGACTCAGGCAGACCCAGTTCAATCTCAGTGCCTTTATTTACATGAAGGGGCAGAGTAGTTGATCCCTCTGAGCCTCAGTTTACTCATCTGTGAAATGAGGACACTAATACCTACCTCCCAGGAGTACTGGGAAGAGTAAATGAAAGAAAGTGTGTTAAGAATCAACCGAAATACCCATCAACTGATGAATAGATAAATAAAATGTCATAAATCCACACAATGGATTACTATTTGGCAATTAAAAGCAATGAAGTTCTGATATACTCTACAACATGGATGAACCTTGAAAACATTAGGCTAGCGAAAGAAGTCAGTCATAAAAGATCATATGTAGGGCTTCCCTGGTGGCGCAGTGGTTGAGAGTCCGGCTGCCGATGCAGGGGACACAGGTTCGTGCCCCGGTCTGGGAGGATCCCACGTGCCGCGGAGCGGCTGGGCCCGTGAGCCATGGCCGCTGAGCCTGCGCATCCAGAGCCTGTGCTCCGCAACGGGAGAGGCCACAACAGTGAGACGCCCACGTACCGCAAAAAAAATAAGTAAATAAAAATAAATAAAAGACCATGTGTAGTATGATCCATATACATGCAATGTCCAGAATAGGCAAATCTATAGAAATAGAATGTGGATTAGTGGTTGCTGAGGGCTGGAGGTGGGATGGGAGGGTGACAGTATAAGGGAAATGGGGAGTGACCGCTAATAGGAACAGCGTTTCCTTTTGGGGTGATGAGAATTTTCTAAAATTGATTTTGCTGTTTGTTGCACAACTCTGTGGATACACTAAAACCCATTGAATTGTACACTTTAAATGGGTGGGTTATATGCTATGCGAAGTATATATCAATAAAGATTTTTTTAAAAAAAAGAATGTATGTCAGACGCTTAGCACATAATTGGTGCTCAACAAGTTCTCACTGTTCTGACGTTCCCCTCCTTGCCTGGTTTGTCTCCAGCAACCGCTGATGAGCATTTGTTCCTACTTACAGTGCCCTGGCTTTTGCATTAGCTTCAGTGCATACCTGCCCTCCTGTAGTAACCCCCCTGCCCCTTGTTAAGGACTCGGTAGATTTTCTTTGTCTCCTTTTGAGGTGCTGCTCCTTATGCTTGACCTCTGTCTTGGCCTGGGTTGTCCTGTATACGCCCCTCCTTCACTGCGCCTCTGAACATAACCTTCCTGGGCTACCTTTCAGACCTTCCCCGTCTCCTCCTTATTCAACACTAAGTAGGAAGCAGCTCTAAGCAGAGTACCACTAGGCACTGTGGATAACGCAAAGCGGTTAAAGACTTGCGAAGAGCTCTTTTGATTGTGGTTGGGGAAATGGCACATGGATATAAAAACACAACTAAGCTGAGGACACAAGTCTGTTAAGTGTCAATTGTGTAATTCTCACCTAGGTGCTTTGAGAGTTTAAAGAAGTGGGAGATCATTGGTCGGGGGACTCTTCAAAAAGCACTTGGTTTTTGACTGATGGGTGAGCTTCATACTGGAGAAGAGAATGGGGCGGGTGCGTAAGCAAAGACCTAGATATGTGTCTTCTTTCTTCCTTCCTTACATGTCTATTAAGCACATATTATATGCTAAACTCTGGGGTTGTAAAAAGAAAGAGTAAGATTGAATCCTGCCCTCTCAGAACTTACAGATGTGGGAAAGCTGGGCACACAAAGAAATGACGAGAAATCCGTGAATACAGTGGAGCAAGTGAGGTATGTGTCCGAGGGAGTTTGTAAAGGCGTCGCAGGAGAGCTGACATTTGGATGTTCAGAGTGAAGAGGTGAGGAAGGAAAGGCTGGGGGGCATGAAGGCTGGGATCAAAGGCCGGGAGCTGAGGCTGCTGAGATGTGTTGCAGTTTCATTATGGGGGTTTTGTGTCCTGCGTTCAGTAATTGATGTTTCATTCTGAGGCAATCAAAGGCGGTGATGGGGACTCCACTTCTCTCAGGCAAAACTGTCTAATCCCAATTGTCTTTCTGCTTTCTTTTTGAACTTTAGCCCCCTGCCAATGCTTTCTGAAGCCGGGCTCATTCTCGCTTTCATTAAACTCCAAATGTTGTAGAAGTCATCTTTTCTTGAAGTCTTGCCATAGAGGTCCCCAGGGAGGCCCTACTTCCCTTACCCTCTCCCATCTTTCACGTACCTTACTGGAGGGCAGGGAGGGAAGCTTGAATAGCAACTCCACCCTCCCCCATCAGAGATCACCAGATTCAGAATCAAAATAATGTTGATTCCATGGATTTTTACCTGTGGTCAAATGCAACATACCTATTGCCTGACTTTTCAAATTTTATTTTGATTAAAGCATTTTAAAAAGCAGGTCCAAACCTTCCCAACAAGTAAGTCCTTATAATGTTCCCTAACTAAATTAGTACACCATCCGTGGAATTCTTCTACGTACTGGATGATTTGAGGCATCTTTCTAAAAAACATAAATCCCTTTGTTGATCATTGAAGGATTAGTGGAAATGCATATAATACATTCAAATGTACTTAAGTAGTTTTAAACAGAGCACTGTACAGATAATTATTTCTATAATCTACAAGTAAAATGAGATTTTAGTTTCCAAATAAAATAAAAGGGCAAGTTTGTTGACTGAATTCATACTCATTTATCACACTCTTCTGTACTGTATTAATATCTTTAACTGGCCAGTGAATCATAAAAAAATTAAATCCTCAGTAAATCTTATCGGGACCACAAAAATAATGGGATTTCTGTTTACAAGGTGTCGATTGTGTTCAGAGTCTTTGATAATGACTGCAGACAGTCAATAAACACTGAGACATTTACATGGTCAGTAGGAGCCTAACTAAACTATCTAATCTTTCAAAAGACAGTCAACACAATGAACTCTAAACCTAATCCCCTCAAATACTGGAGAGACTTGTTTAGTGCTTTAAATACTACTCAACCCCAAACCCCACACTAAAAAGAACCATTAAGGCTTTTTCTTAAACTCTCAGAAGCAGGACATGCTGATTTTAGTTCCATTCTCTGATGGCAAATCTTTACCTTATAATATAAGTTCAACCTTTTATAGGATCTGGGATTTGTGAAGGGTGGCAAATATTGTAAGTATTGTAGGACTTGACTTAAAAGGGAAAAAGGAGTAACATTTGATGTTTATTTTGAACTTTTTCAACGACTAAAAAAAAGTTTCAAGAAAGAAAAGCACATTACTTGCTGGGTTTTTTTGTTAAAATCAAGTAAACTCACATTTACTTAGAACTCCTGTATCGTTGATCCTATGTTTATTGCAGGGAGATTTTTTAAAAGAAGCTGAAAGAAAAAAAAGAAAAGGCTATTAATTGAGCATTTCCTCTCTTCCAGGCCTGTGTCACTCAATGAAGATAAAGGTTTAAAGATTCTAAAATCCTCACAAGAGACTTGTATAAGGGAAATTGAAGATGCCTGACTATGGAGTCATCAATTTAGATACTAAAAGAAGCCTTGGATTTTCAGTGGCCAGCAAGGAAAGAGCACGAGGAATTTCAGCAGGACTTGTGTAAATGCTCTTTTGATTCTATGATGTTTTTGTGAAATTAGTCAATGATATGAGGATGCTTGGGGGTGCATTTTTCAAATACTGGCTGGGAAAAGTGGACCCTGGTACCCCACTCGGAAATAATGGTTTTCTTGAGATGTTTGATTTGGGGCTTCTTTTTTTTTTCATTTCTTGTACCGTCCAAAATACTAGGTTCTTCATTGCTCTTGTTTAAAGAGCCTGGCCGGAGAGGTTCTGACAGATCATTCCATTCCACCCGAGGTAAGAGTGGGACTCAAGAAAGAGCAGCCTTGCTGCTTGTGGGACAGCTTTAATGAGACGTTTTCCAAAAACACATGGCTTAGCCTTGAAAACCGATGAACGCAAGAGACTGCCTGAGAGCTGATGTTCAGTTCTCTCCAGGCTATAGAAAGGAGACATTCTTTGGTTGACCTGGCATTCTGCCATGTCGGAGAGCCCACTAGAGTCTCTACTTTGCCATTTGCAGGAAACAGCTGGAAGTGTATGGAAGTCTGGAATCTAGGACCAGGATTTAATCACGCCACATTATGAGGTCACTCTCTGTATCAGGTCAGTGATAGATAGGGAAGAAGGCTGGTTGGTTTATTTGGGGTGGGTGAATGGGGAAGCTCACTGGCAAGCCCCTAAGTTCTAGCATCTTTGGACATCAATGAGGCTTAGATTTGAGGATTTCAGGCTTTTTTTGTTAGCAGACATACAAACACTCTGTGAACTCCAACAATCCTTCAACTCCAATGGAACCTAAAATCCATTGATTCAACTATATTTTCATGGCCCCTCATTCCTTTCATGTCCTCACTTTTCCCCTTACTCAGCTTAGATTTGTGGTCAGATGTTTTAATCAGTCCCTTGAATATACTCTCAACTCCCTTGTCCTTCTCTTACTTTGTTGAACTAACTTGGCTAATCTACAACCTTTGTTAAATTTAACCTTCCCTACTCCATTCGCACAGTTGAATGAAGCCAGAGAAAAACACACAACCAAGCTGACTGGTCTCATTTTAAATTTCTGATCACTTATCTCTTGTGGACCCTTCAAGCTGCCCAGCAATCATACTGTATTTCCCGAGGCCATTCATTCGGTCACTCTACTGGAAGGGGATTGTTTTATACCTTTTCTTCTTTTCTCAAATCTTCAACCACTCATTTCACATCCTGACTGTCATGGTAACCTGCTCCCTATATACTGTGAAAATGGAAGCCACCAGAAGAGAACTTTCACAAGCTCCCACAACCACATGTACCCACCTACCAGCATCTGGGCTCATAGACTCTGCCTTCCCTCCTGTTCTTGTTGATGGACTCTCCACACTCTTTACAAAGGAAACATCTCTACTTACAAACTAGATTCCACACCCCTTGCCTAGTCAGTCACAGTGCTTGCTGCAAGACATCCTCCCCTCTCCTGCATCATCAATTTCCCACTCTCTGTTCCAGTACCATATAAGCATTCTCTCATCAAAGACTAAACCAAACCAAAAAAACCCTCTCTTGATCCCCTTTCTCCTTCCCTTTACAGCAAAATTCCTCAAAAAAGTTGTACTTGTTGTCTCTAATTCTTCTCCTCCTTTCTTCTTCTCTTATACCCACTAGCCACTGAAACTACTCTTATAAGGCAACCCCAGCAAATGAAGTGGTTGATTTTCAGTCCTCATCTTACTTGACCTATCCGCAGCATCTAAAACAGTCACTCCCTTCTCAAATAAATATTACCTTCACACGGTTTCCACCACACTCCTGGTTTCCCATTTCCCACATTGCTTCTAATTCTTTTTGTCTGGTTCTTTTCGTTTCCTAGATATCTTTATCTTGGAGATCTCTCGATCTCCAGCGTTGATCTTTCTATGTTGGAGTGCCCCAGGACTCTGTCCTAGAATCTCTTCTGTTTTCCATCTACGCTTACTACTTTGATGATCTCACCCAATCTTGGGGCTTTAAATATTATCTATATGTTGATTACTTCTAAATTTATATCTCCAGTCTGTACTACTTCCCTGTGTTCCAGACCATATGTCCAACCTGCAACTTAACATCTCTACTAGGATGTCCAATAAACATCTGAGCATCTGATCTCCTTCCACTGCCTTCCTGAACCTGCTCCTCCCACAGTGTTCCCCTTCTCGGTAAGTGCCAACTCCATTCTCCCAGCTGCTTAAACAAAAATCATCTTGGCGTCACCCCTAACTCCTCTTTATCTAATACCTCTCATTTTAATCCGTTAACAAATCCTGTGTGTTCTACCTTCAAATATATTCAAAATCTGACCACTTCTTATTATCTCCATTCTACCACCCTGGTCCAAAGCACCTTTTAGCTGATACCACTGCTTCTGGTAAGTAGCAGAGCTGAGATTTAATCCCAATTGTTCTTTCACTTTGAAGACCTTGATCTTTTTGTCTGGGCTCGACTGTCCTTCTGTTTCTTCACCTTTGGTGGTTGCAAATGTAGGTACCTTCTCTCTATCCATTTCCATTCTTTCCATCCTTTCTAATGGAATCCTAACTACATTCAAAATGGCACTGTGACCAAATATCTTTTGGTCTGTCTTTCCCAGCCTCATACAGATAAGTGCACACACCAGCCCTGGACCAGTCCTAGTCCTATCTGGACTCTTTTAAACAAGAGAACAAAGGCCACTTGTAGTCTCTTCTCTGTGACTTGAAGCTTAGCATAATTTCTACCAATTCACCTTATCATAAAAGGCAACCACATATTTCTTCTGGATCTTTTACAGAACCTAGCATAGAGCTAAGCGCATAACTGGTCCTTAGTAAATGTCAGTGGTTGGTTGCTTATGATAAAGCAAATGAATCTGAATGAGTCTGACACATTCATTTCTACCACTATCAGTAATGACATGACTAAAGCTTTGGAATAGAGTTTGTATATAACTCTGGCACTTCTAAGGGAATTTCTTTATTTTTATTTATTTTTGGCTGTGTTGCTTCTTCATTGCTGCCCACAGGCTTCCTCTAGCTGCGGCGAGCAGGGGCTACTCTTCGTTGAGGTGCATGGGCTTCTCACTGCGGTGGCGCCTCTTGTTGCAGAGCACGGGCTCTAGGCGTGCGGGCTTCAGTAGTTGTGGCGCGTGGGCTCGGTAGTTGTGGCTCGCGGGCTTAGTTGCTCCACCGCATGTGGGATCTTCCCGGACCAGGGCTCGAACCCATGTCCCCTACAGTGGCAGGCAGATTCTTAACCACTGCGCCAGGTACGGCTTATAAAGTAACGAGACTGTGTCCATAAGTTTTCCCTAACATAAGCTCCATTACTTTAAGATTCTAAATAAAGATTAAAATACTGTTACCATTCTCAATGCCTTCTTCTGAAACATCATTACAAGACAAATTTCTGTATAACACAAACGGTGGATCTTTACAAAGATTTTGACATAACAAAATCTACTATAAGAAGAAAACAGTAGAATTGTCCATTGTGTCAGAATGTTACTGATGAGATGTTGATGGCTTATAAATGACTTAAAAGAAACAATTTATGGTCTTGCTCTTTCCTGTTAGTGAGAGGTCTTAAACCTCCAAATCACAATCCACCTCCAAGGCTATGAATTGCAGATCGAGTTAAGCAGAGAAAGAAACAGTTGAATATTACTTCCAAGTGTGGAAAGTTGATTGGGAGGCGGTTTATTTTGTGCTGAGTCCCTCTTAGGATTCAGGCCATGGGATGTGGGCAGCATTCATCTCTAAGATGAATTCTGATTGGTCATCTCTAAGATGAATTCTGATTGGCGGAAAGAGCATTCTTCTTCAAGTGCTGTCTCTCACTTACTTGTCTCTGGGCAAGACATTCAACCTCTCAGAGTCTACTTTTTTTTCTTTTTTTTAATCTGCAGATGGAAATAATACCCAAAATAGGGCTGTTGAGATGATAAAATGAGGGAATATTGTGAAAGGGCCTAGTTCATAGTAATCACTCAATAAATATTTGTACATTTTTCTTGATAATATATTACACGTCATAAATTCTTTAGAATTTTTGAAATGATTTCACATACTGTACAGGTTATTGTCAAAATACCAAGTATAAAATGGATAACTAATGAGAACCTACTGTATAGCATAGGGGACTCTACTCAATGCTCTGTGGTGACCTAAATGGGTAGGAAATCCAAAAAAGAGGGGACATATGTATACGTATAGCTGATTCACTTTGCTGTACAGTAGAAACTAACACAACATTGTAAACCAACTATACTCCAGTAGAAAAAAAATACCAAGCACCGATTAACACTTCCTCTAAGAGCATTTGGATGGTTGTACTTTAATTATTTTAGGATGTGACCAACTTTTGTGGAGTTGAGTTAGTTGGCTTCATTATTCCCCTGCAACATTTCCTCTGCAGTCGTTGATTTCCATGGCTACACGATGATTACTTCCTGAGAAACAAAGGAACACATGTGTTTGGAAGTAAAAAGGAAGCATACAGATCACCTATTGAACCACAACCCTGCAAAACCTGGTATAAATGGAAACTTTTCTTTTTATCATAGTGTGTTTGAAGTGAAGGAATTCACATTAGTCATTCACTCGGTTTTTACTCTACAATAGGTGTCCTTGTAAGGGGCCAGATTGTGTCAGGTCTTATAAACCAAATATACTCCAAAATGTTTTGTGAGTTAGACTGTTTACAACATTAAAAATTTTTGAGTGGTGACCAATCCAGAAAAGTGATAGTAAGTAATGGGAAATTTGAAGACAAAGAATGAGTGGAGAAGGAAGTAACTCACCACTCTAAAATACAATGATTCCTTTTCACTGCATTAAAAAAATTTGTTTTATTTTATTTATTTTTGGCTGTGTTGGGTCTTCGTTGCTGCGCCCGGGCTTTCTCTAGTTGCAGCGAGCGGGGGCTACTCTGCGTTGCAGTGTGCAGGCTCCCCATTATCGTAGCTTCTCTTGTTTCGGAGCACAGGCTCTACGCACGCGGAGTCAGTAGTTGTGACTTGTGGGCTCTAGAGCGCGGGCTCAGTAGTTGTGGCGCACGGGCTTAGTTGTTCCGCGGCATGTGGGATCTTCCTGGACCAGGGAATGAACCCATGTCCCCTGCATTGGCAGGCGGATTCTTAACCACTGCACCAACAGCAAAGTCCCTTTACTGCATTAATTGATTGATTATTCTACCACACATTTGTTGAGGATTCTATGTGTGAGGTCCTGTAACTAAGTGCTCTGAGAACCACAAACATGAATAGGGCCAAGGCCCAGAAGTGGTCTTCAAAGAATTTTAGTTGAATTTATAGTTTATATTGGAAATAAAATATATATGTCCCCTGTCCAAATTATGTCTCATGTGGAGTACAATCCAAGACCCAGGGTGGCTTTGAGGAGGGGGCTGTCTATGTTGAGTCTTTTTTATAAATTTATTTATTTTTGGCTGCACTGGGTCTTGGTTGCGCGCAGGCTGTCTCTAGTTGCGGCGAGCAGGGGCTACTCTTCATTGCGGTGCGCAGGCTTCTCATTGCAGTGGCTTCTCTTGTTGCAGAGAACAGGCTCTAGGCCTGCAGGCTTCAGTAGTTTTGGCATGCGGGCTCAGTAGCTATGGCTTGCGGGCTGTAGAGCACAGTCTCAGTAGTTGTGGCACAGGGGCTTAGTTGCTCTGCGGCATGTGGGATCTTTCCAGACCAGGGCTCGAACCTGTGTCCCCTGCATTGGCAGGTGGATTCTTAACCACTGTGCAACCAGGAAAGTCCCCTATGTTGAGTCTTGAAGAATACATAGAAATTTTTTCACCAGGTAAACAGATGGAAAGGCATTCCAGACAGAAGAAACAGCATCTACAAAGGCACTGAGGTGACCAGGCTCAGAGCTAATGGATCAGAGATAGGCAGAGATTGATTTGGAGAGCAAGGGCGGGTTGAGAATATCTGTGTTGGGAATATCATCCTTATTAGTAGATGGGTGTTTGGCGTATGGAAATTGGCTTACAGTGGGAGGAGAGTGCTGTAGACTAAATGTTTGTGTTCCCTCAGAATTCATATGTTGAAACCTAATCCCCAGTGTGATGGTTTGGGGAGGTGATTAGGTCATGAAAGCAGAGCCCACGTGAATGGGATTAGTATCCTTATAAAAGAGACTCCAGAGAGCTCTATTGCCCCTTCCACCGTGTGAGGACACAGTGAGAAGATGGCCATAATGGACCAGGAAATAGGCTCTCACCAGACACGAAATATGCTGGTGCCTTCATTTTGGACTTCTCAGCCTTTTAGAACCATGAGAAATAAGTGTTTGTTGTTTAAACCACCCACTCTATGATATTCTGTTATAACAGCCCAAACAGACTAAGATGGAGAAGAAATTTAATGTGTTCAGCTTGGGACATGCTGAATGTCAGGTGCTGATGAGACAGGATATTCTGGTGGAGATGTTATGTAGGTTGTTAGAAATGAAGTCTGGAGCTTAGGAGAGACGTGCAATTGAAGATCTGGATTTAGGACTCATCAATATACAAGTGGAAGACGAACTCATAGAGTCTAGTGTAAAAAGAAAAGGTAGTTGAGGACAGATTCCTGGGAAACAGCTACATTTAAAGGACAGACTGGGACTTCTCTGGTAGTGCAGTGGTTAAGAATCCGCCTGCCACTGCAGGGGACACAGGTTCGAGCCCTGGTCCAGGAAGATCCCACATGCCACGGAGCAACTAAGCCCGTGAGCCACAACTACTGAGCCTGCGCTCTAGAGCCTGTGTGCCACAAATACTGAAGCCCACACACATAGAGCGTGTGGTCTGCAACAAGAGAAGCCACTGCAATGAGAAGCCCACTCGCCACAACCAGAGAAAGCCTGCATGCAACAACGAAGACCCAATGCAACCATAAATAAATAAAGTTATATATATATAAAATAATAGTAAAGGACAGACTGATGAAAAGAAGCCTAAGAAGAAGGCTGAGAAGGAGAAGCCAGGGAGATGTGAAGGAAAACCACAAGAAAACGGCAGCTTTCCCCTTTCTCCGCAGTACAGTCCTTTAGTTATCACGGGGGAATGTCAAAGCAGAAAATGAAACACTAAAATTGCATTTAGTCAGATCCTTTTTCTTTTGAGGCTCCTTCCTGGGATTTGGGGTTCTTTTTCTAATCTTTTTTTGGACTGCGCCCTGCGGCTTGCAGGATCTTAGTTTCCCGACCGGGGATTGAACCCGGGCCTTTGGCAGTGAAAGCTCAGAGTCCTAACCACTGGACTGCCAGGGAATTCCCTCTTTAGATTAGAATCTTGATTCATCTCTTTACCCCTATAAAATAAACTCCAGGAGCCTAGGGCAGAGCAAATAGGTGATTAATGCTGGGGTTGCACATGGAATGGAAGGTTCTAGGATTCAGGTAAAAGGGACTGTCCTGGGTTGTTAAGCTTCAGTGAGCCAGGGTGACATAGTGGTTATCAGCTCTGGAAGTAGACGGATCTGCACTCAAAGCCTGACGCTGAGGCCCAGAGGGTAATTCTCTCAGCAGGTGTGCATGCCATCCTGGGTGTAGACTGTAGGTGTCTCACTCCCAGACCCCTACTCTCAGGCTGGCTGGAGTAAAGGAGAAATTTCTCCACTGACCTGTGGATTTCTCAAGGGCTTAGTACATAGAAGGTACTTAAATGTGTAGCTTCTTTTCTCAACGATGAGTAAACGAACAGAAGTTAAAGATTGGTACATAGGAAACAACTTTATAATAAGCCTATGAGTATTGTAGTCTCCTAACATTTTTATGGGTCACTGACATTTTCAAAACATTTCAAAACATTGAGCATCAGAGAAACATCTGCCTATGTCCATTTTAAAGGATATAGGAGAACAATACTGCTTAATATAACAAAATTATAAAGCAGTTGATTTTAAAAAAACAGAAAATTATCCTCAATGGTTCATAATGTGGCTCCTTATTAAGCAATGATGTCATCCTAACTCCTCCATAGTGCTTTTTTTTTTACTTTCCCGGCACTGTTCTGAAGAACTTCTTTGCATTAATTAATTTAATTTCCCCAACAAATCTATGAGTAGGAGCTTGTCTATTATGTACATAAGGAAACTCCAGACACAGAAGTGTTCCCAAGGTCACATAGCTAATAATTAGCAGAGATAGGATTTGAACCCAGGAAGTCCAATTCTGGAGTCTATGCATGTAACTGCTACACTACACAGAAACCTACTTTGATTCTGCTACTTGCCTGCATAGCTGGACCACTTTGTTTATCACCTAGCATTGAAGAAAAGCTACACTGTGCATGTGAAGTGAGGATTTCTCAGCAGGGCTTCTGTGCGGACAGGTGGAGCAGGGGCACTTTGTGGGAGATATATTTGTGTTAAATCAGGACCACAAGCATGATAACTACCTATACTAACAGAAATCATAATCACACAATAATCTTATTTTGCAGTTGACTATCCCCAATTCCATAGGCAGATGGTCTCAGTCCCTTGTCACAGACGAAGAGAGAAAGAGGCTCAGTGCTTGTGGACAGGACCAAAAAGTGTGTCTACTTGGGAGTCTCTGGGGAACTCACTGACCCTGTCTGTCCTCTACGCTCTTACTGGAGAGTTTTCTGAGGGTACTTTGTATGAATGGCCTAACCTTTTAGTTGGTGTCCAGGAGCCTACACTGATTGTCACTTATCTGAGGAGGGTAACTGAGAGAAATCTCAGAAAGAGTTGGGCAGAAGAGGCTCCAAACCAAGTGGAAACATTGCCGCTGCCTTGAAATGAATTTGAATCCGAAATGATTACTTGGAATCACTCTAAGAAACATGTCCAGTATATACTATAGCACATATTTAAAAAAAAAAAGATTCAGAGCAAAATATTTCCTGATATTATGCTCAGGAATGAGGATGTTTTATAACTCTTACTTAAATATATTTAGTATCACTTACAGAAGAAAAGAACCTCAAACATATAAAAATAAATCAGATTAGGCTTTGTCTTTTGATTAATTTTTTTTTCACTGAACAGGAAAGTACTCATTAACAAAAGTTTTGAGAACAATAAAGTAACTGGAGGTTATTAATACGAAAATATTGTCAATTGTTCCTCCTGTAGAAATCTCCCTGGACAGCCCACTTCCTGAAAAATGACTCAGCAAAAGCTCCAAGAAGAGTTGTTCGTGTTTAACACAATTGTTCAGGCCAGCACCGACTTCTTATCTATAAAGTCCCCTTGTGATTGATGATTCATGTTTCTTTTCAATTATGGGCTTTGAATGCAAACTGTTTCTTAATGTAAACAAATGGCTTCAGTATTTAAAGCAAAACATTTCCGTTTGTTTAGTACTATTTCCTATTTTATGCCTGAAACCATATTTTTGAAGGAATTGTTTGGTTTCAAAAGAGGGAAAAGAGATGATTGTTTAGAAGAATGTGTGCAAAGAAGGATGTACTTGCCAAGGGCTGCCTGCCAGACGTACGTAGACTCAGATGGGGCACAAGGTAACCTATCCTCTCATGTCGTGGCCCAAAGAAGTTAGTGGCCTGAATTCTGACAGTAAATATCCAGGTTTTCCTGTGGGAGAAAAGGGTAGTTTGGTTTTTTTTTTTTTTTTTGGCAGCTTGGTAATAGGCTTTGCATAATGTCTTCTCAGTTCTGCTGAAGAGATCTGAACTAGATGAATGGAGGATAAAAGACACATAGAACAGTTGCCAGAAATACTAGAAAAAAGAGAGCAAGATATTTAGTGATTTCTGATGACGTTTTACAATTGCCAATGTAAAAAATAAAATTAAAACCTAGAAGGGCCTGAGCCAGTTTCAATGAACCCCGTGACCAAAGTTGACCACTAGGTAGCGCCATAATCTAGCTCTGTGACAATAGGACTGACGCTGTTGATTATCGCCAGGATGAACATGTTTAAGATTTATACTTGGAAAAAGATCAACAAGGGCGCCCTAAAAATTTTCCATCAGAACACCCTAGCATAGCAAACGTAAGACGTATAAGTTTCAAGTATTTACTTGGGGAAGCTATTTCTACCAGAGCAATTATGTTTATTGAGAACTCAGAAAAACAGTGAGTGGAAGAGATTTTACCTTCCCCTTCTCTTAATGAAACCCCAGATTTGCACGAAGATAAGGAAAAGCAATAATCACAATTAATTAAAACAATTAATTCAAAATTTCCTTGGCAAAATAGAAAAATGTCAATTTAATTAAGCAGTAAACACTACTCACAGTTGTTTTGGAGTCATATTGTCTTCATCATTCCCACTGAAGTCTTCCATTCGTTCAGAACATGCCCACCATGCATCACGCTAGATGCTTGCGATATAAAGAAGCATAAGGCACATTCCTTGCTTTTGTGTAGCTCACAGTCCAGTAAGGTAGATGAATATCTAACAGAAAAACAGTAATACAAAGGGGTAAGAGCTTTGATAGACATGTTTGAGAGGTAGGGGAGATAGTAGCAAATCATTCTACACAGCCAGGCATTTGAACAAGGCCTTGAAAAATAAGTAACAGTAACAGCCGACACTGATGTCCATGTGCCAAACACTCTCCAGAGTGCTCTACCTAATAAATGTTCAAAAGTCATGTAATCTTCACAGTGACCATATGAGGTAGGTGATACTGTTATTACCTCCATGTTCCATACAAGAAAACAAGTTTTGGGAGGGTACTCTAGATAAAGGAAGTAGCATGTATAAAGTTTCCAAGGTGTACAGAACCATGGCATGTTCCTGGGAGCAGAAGCTCAGATAACAGTAATGATATAATATTCAGGGAAACACCATGTCCTCTATGAGTTTATAAACAGAAAAATGTGGTGAGTTGTATCAGAAGTTAGAACAGGGGCTTCTCTGGTGGTCCAGTGGTTAAGACTCTGCGCTTCCACTGCAGGGGGGCAGATTCAATCCCTGGTGGGGGAACCAAGATCCCACATGCTGTGCAGTGTGGCCAATAAAAAAGAAAGAAAGAAATTTAGAACAGATTTAAAAAAAATTTTTTTTAATTACCTAAAAATTTTATTCTTAGGAATTCTCTGGTGGTCTAGTGGTTAGGACTCCACACTCTCACTGCTGAGGGCTCAGGTTCAATCCCTGGTCAGGGAACTAAAATCCCACAAGCCGCGCAGCACAGCCAGGAAAAAAAAAAAGTATTCTTTAAAGAACAGTAGGAAAAAACAAAAAAAAAGAACGGTAGGAATATAGTTTATTGAGAAAACACTGATTCATTAAAAGACCAAAATGCTTTTTGTAATGAAATTTTACATCCTGAATTTTGAAGATGATAGGAAAAATATATAGAATGGCCCTCTGGAAGCACAATTTTGGATACCAGAGATTCTTTTGAAAAAACTAACTTTCAAATAACTAACCATATTACTGAGAGTCTCCTGAAAATAAAAATGCTAAAGTTTTAAAATTAACTGAGCGTCTTGAAAGATTTCCTAATGTTGAAATAATAATGCTAATATAACTAAAACAACTTTTAACTATTTTATTTTAGATAGCCTTTGTAAGACAAACTGTGATATCACGATTAAATATTTATTGGTTGCCTATTACTTACAAAGCACTGTGCTGCTGCGTCAAGGTTATTTATTGAACAAATATTTATTGAACACCTCACTAGTGCCAGCCATCCTGTTAGTTGCTGTGGGTATAGTAACAGTAGCAGCAAACAACAACAAGGGAACAATCTTTGTTTACTTCTCCATCTCCACACCTGTCTCCAGCAAGCAACCCTTGTTTACCACCCTGGCCTCACTCAATTCCCTGGCCATGCCCTCTCTCTACATCAGAAGTCCGTGTTCCCACCAACTGCTTTGCATACGAATGGGCTGTGAGTCCCCTCACCACCCTAGAATATCCAAATAGTACCCATTCTTCAATTTTCAGTACCAATGTCCCTCCTACATGGCTATTTTTGTTCTCTCCTGAGCTTTCCCTTTATATTTTTTTAAAACCATCTTAACCATTTTTAAGTGTTCAGTTCAGTAGTGTTAAGTATATTCCCATTGTTGTGTATCAAGATCTCCAGAAATTTTTCATCTTGCAAAATTGAAATTCTATACCCACTAAACAACAACTCCCCGTTTCCCACTCCTCCCATCCCCTGGCAACCACCATTCTATTTTCTGTTGCTATGAATTTGACTATTTTAGACACCTCATATAAGTGGAATCATACAGTATTTGTCTTTTTGTGATTGGCTTATTTCACTTAGTATAATGTCCTCCAGATTCACCCATGTTGGAGCATGTGACAGGATATCCTTCCTTTTTAAGACTGAATAATATTCCACTGTATGTTTGTGCTATATTTTGTTTATCCATTCATCTTTCAGTGGACACTTGGGTTGCCCTTCCTGGCATTTTTATTCCTTCTTCTTTTCTAGTACTCATCTCTTGCCTTCATATAATATAATTATTCAGGTATTTATTTTTCTCCTTTCTCATCTGTACGTTTTCTCATTTATTCATTCATCATCCATTCAACAAACACTATTGAGTGTCCCCTCTTTGCCAGGCACAGTTCTAGGCTCTGGAGATACCTCAGTGAACAAAACAGAAAAAAATTCCCTGTCTTCATTAATCTTACTTTTTAAGAGGAGGGACAGGTAATAAAACAGGTGAAGTGTATGGTATGTTCAAAGATGATAAATATTGAGAGATAAAAATAAAGCAGAGGGGGACTTCCTTGGTGGTCCAGTGGTTAAGACTCCGTGCTTCCAATGCAGGGGGTGCGGGTTGGATCCCTGAGTTGGGGAACTAAGATCCCACATACCATGGGGCGTGGCCAAAAAATAACAACAACAACAAAAATAAATAAATAAATACATTGGAGGAAGTAGTGGGGATAGAGAGTTCTGGATCAAAGTTAAAATGTTGGATTTTGTTTCCAGTGAAGGCATCACTGAGGTGGTGACTTTTTAATAAAGGTCTGAAGGAAGTGAAGGAGTGAGCCAAGTGAATATCAGAAGGAGAGCACAGAATACAATTGAATTTTAGCCTTCTTTGCACTGAACTCTGTACTGTTATTAGCACAGCCTAAAATTGCACTAGACTTTTAGCAGTTGGATTACATGATTGACTTATACGTTTATGAAGATAATAATAATCAGCCTCATAGGAAGTTGTGTGGATTAAATGAATTAATATTTGTAAAATGCTTAGAACAATGTCTGGCATATGTTAATTGCTATGTAGGTGTTTGTTAAAAAATATGTTTATTGTTTCTGATTGAGATAAATTTCTTTGCTTACCAAAGATGCTAGTCATGGTGGGGTAGAGTTAGAGGAAAAAAAAGTCAGAATAGCACAGCAGAGGAACACTGGACTATATGTCAGGAGGTTTACAGTCTTTTCTGTGTTCTGTTACCAACACATAAAAATCTTAGGCAATTAAAAAAAAAATCTCCTTGACCTTCAATTTTAGAGCTTGAAGATGACCCTTCCATTTAAAAATACTATGGTTTTAGAGAAGTTGTGTGTGTATGTACATGCTTGAATGTGTGTGCATGTGTAACAAAGTGATTATTTGGGTGAGAATGACAAGGGGATTAGGAATGACAAGTACCTGATGTCTCTGAAGATTAAAACAGAAGACGGAGAGGAAGAAAGGAAGAGGTGGAGAGATGCTGAAAAAGATGGTTCCCTGTGCCAGCTACCAGAGACAAGTCTGGCCTAGGAGAGCTCAGTTGCTGGCCAGAGAAGATACCAGGTAGGGGAAGGTAGGCCAGAGAAACACAAGTCACCATTGTGGGGGTTAGAAGCTCACACATTGAGTCTTATGGGGGAGGAAGTGGAAAACTCCTGTGCACATATATTATACCTGGGCAGTGTTATACTGGGTTTGTAATCCTCATTCTGCCTTTCTGAAATCTTGGACCTTGTCACTCCTTAATGTTTTAAAATTTTGTTAGCACTTTCAGTTGTGGCCCAATAGACCCTCAAGTACTAGTTAGTCAGCACATCAACTTCCTAGATACTTATTATATTTATTTAATACAATCATGTATTCTGCAAATGTCAGTTTTTCTTCCTTCTTACCAACCTTTATATCTTTTATTTCTTTATCTTGCCTCATTGCATTGGCTAGGACTTCCAGGTCAATTTCAAATAGAGTTAAGGTTTGTTTTTTCCCTGAACTGAGGAGGCCAACGTTTAACATTTTGTCACCAAGTAAGATGTTAACGAGGTTTTTTTTGTTTTGTTTTGTTTTGTTTTATTTGTTTGTTTGGATAGACTCCTTTTATTATACTAAGAAATTCTCTTTTATTCCTAGGTAACAGTTTTTTAAATTTCCTGGACCCATCAAGAGATATATAGGTGTGAGAATTACCTATAAAGGTGAGGAAACTACCTCTACAGGAAGGTATGCTGTAGGGGTGGAAGGGTGGAACCAAGCCTCTTAACAGAACTAAACACCAGGTGAGAATTGTCAGGCTAGTCCACCTCTTTTGGTATCCTTCTACCTTCTAGCCACCCCTGCCTTGCCCCCAGGCTCCCAGTTGTTTCCTAGAGACTGCAAATTGCAGAAGGGGCACCTGTGCCAATGAAACCCATGAGCATAATGTTTCCCATTGGTGGTTCCAGTATAGAGTAAGGAGGCTGGGATTCCAGTTTTGGTGAGGGAGGAATGCAAAAACCCAACCAGGTTTTATTTGAATAATAAACTTAATTTTTCTAAAGGGTCAGTTTCTAGTTCTAGAGGGTTCCTAGCAGATTAACAGAACAAAGGCTTAGTTACAGAGCCTAGAAAGGGACCCAGGACCAGGGCCATAGCAACACCACACATAGCCTGATGATGTGTCCCAAAGATCTGCTTAGGGCAGGATTTCCCAGTCTCAGCACCACTGGCATTTGGGGCTAGTTAATTCTTTGTTGTGGGGGATTGTGCTGTGCATTCTGCATCATTTAGCAGCACCTCTGGCCTCTGCCCACTGGATGTCAGTAGCACCCACCTCCAGCTGAGACAATCAAAAATGTCTCCAGGCATTGCCCTAGGGGTGGGAGGAGACAAGATCACCCATTGGGAACCACTGGCCTAGAGCTACTTAATCATCCCCTGTCAGTGGTCAGGCTTGATTCCAGAAAGTAGTACTATAAAAGAGTTTGAGCTGTAGCTGGGAGGCGAGGTTAAGGGTTGAGACTGGGAACATTCCAGTCTTACTCCCCATTCTCTTTTATGGGCATCTTGGAATATGGCTGTTTAAAATTTTTCCATTACCTCCTTTTCTTTTCCTTATTTGGTGAATTTGTTGTCAGCGCTATGGGATAGGGGAGGTTGTTTTTCTGACTGTTACTTTTGGGAGGAGATCCTCTCCTGTTCATTCAATCTGTGCTGACTTCCGGCAGGAAATGGCACTCAAGGAAAGTTTTTTTTTTTTTCTTTTTTTGCGGTACGCGGGCCTCTCGCTGTTGTGGCCTCTCCCGTTGCGGAGCACAGGCTCCGGACGCGCAGGCTCAGCAGCCATGGCTCACGTGCCCAGCTGCTCCGCGGCATGTGGGATCTTCCCGGACCGGGGCACGAACCCGTGATCCCTGCATCAGCAGGCGGACTCTCAACCACTGCACCACCAGGGAAACCCTCAAGGAAAGTTTTGAATAAAAGGAAGATGCTGGTTTAGTCAGTGGAAACAGGAAGTTGTAGCCTGTCTTACACGGCTTGGAAGAAAGTAAGAAGCAGAGAGAAAATTCACTTAACAGAAGTGGGAGGAGACGGGGTGGGAGTAGAGGAGGTATGGGGAGAGCTAAGGGGTGGAGGGAGGCAATCAAGCAACAGGATGGAAAACTTTGAGTCTCCTGGTGGAGCCGGCTGTACAGGAAGAGGATAACAGCGCTGTGTAGTAGGAACAGGTTAGGGCAGAACTATGAGTCAAAGCTATTGTGGTTCATTAATTATACTACTTTATAGCATTATACTGTTCTAAAAATACTCTATTTAAATTAACACAGTTTTATCACTCTATGTATTAAAAGCATATGTCTACATTATAAAATCCCCTTGAATAAAGAGAGAAAGAGAAAGCAAATGTAACAAAATGTTAACAATTGATGAATCAGATGAAGGTTATGTGACTGTTCTTGTATTTCTTCTGTAAGTATGAAATTTTTTTTTTTTTTTTTTTTGGCGGTACGCGGGCCTCTCACTGTTGTGGCCTCTCCCGTTGCAGAGCATAGGCTCCGGACTCGCAGGCTCAGCGGCCATGGCTCACGGGCCCAGCCACCCCGCGGCATGTGGGATCTGCCCGGACTGGGGCACGAACCCGTGATCCCTGCATCAGCAGGCGGACTCTCAACCACTGTGCCACCAGGGAAGCCCAGTATGAAAATTTTAAAAATAAAAATTTGGGGTATGTGGGGAGAAAAATCAATTTTTAAACTATGTTATATTTAAGGCTCGGTGGGTCATCACAGATATATGTTCATGTGTATGTGGCATTACCTATGAAGTTGTTCTCTACTATATAATAAAGTGATGACCAATACTCTCTTATGACCAGACTGATTTCCCATCATGAATTTATGTATTCTCATAGTCTGATAAATTCAATCTGGAAGTCTCATATTTTTGCATCATTTGGACCAACACTTGGGCATAAGGCAGAAGTAACTCTTAGATTGTAGCTTTGCTGTCAATCATTTATTCATTCAATAAGCATTTCTTGAGCACCTACTGTTACACAGGACCGTGTGTTGTGTTAACAGGGAATACAAATACAAATCAAATAGACATTCTGCTCTTAAATAATCTGATAATTTGGTATAAATTAAAAACCCTGCACATAAATGACTTTAATACAAGATAGAAAATTACTGTTTTGTGTCAGGTCTTGGAGAAGGGGAAACGGTGTTAGACATATTCCTAATGCATTTCTTCCATTCTGCCATGGAGGAAAACTAGGGCTAAGAGTTGAGCCTATTGGTGGAATTGATGTGAAGAATGCTGCATTGGTTTGCTATTGCTGCATATAATCCATTACTCAGTGGCTGCGAAGAACCATCATTCATTATTGCTCCTGTGTCTGTGGGTATTTGGGGCATGGCTGATCTGGCTGGGGCTAGGGTGAGCAGCTCTGCATCAGAATGCTGCAGCTGGTTGGGAAAATAAGCTTCTCCCTGCAGTTTTGTGGATCAGTCGGGATGACTCTGCTTCATACATCTCTCATCCTCCTTGGACCAGCAAGCTAGCCAGGGCATGTTTTTCTCAGGTGATGGCAGAGGTGCAGGAGGGCAAAGAGAAGTATGTGAGGCCTTACAAAGCCCAGGCTTGGAGCTCACATACTGTCACTTCACCTCATATATCATTGGCCAGCAGAACTCATGGGCTAAGCCCAAAGTCCTGGGGCATGGAGGGACAATCGGTGAGGCACTGGCAAGGGTATGGATGCAGGGAAAAGTGAAAAGTGGATGCAATTTATGACATATGCCTTGTGGTTACATGAATAGTACATTTTGAGGAGAAAGAACTTCAACTTCTTTTTGGAGCATTATTAACAAATCTGGTAAAAACTTTAAAAAAGTGGATTCATATGGAAGAATGTCACTACTCATCCCTTTATTTTTTATTTTCTTTGGCTGCGAGGCATGTGAGATGCGGGATCTTAGTTCCCCGACCAGGGATGGATCCCATGCCCCCTGCAGTGGAAGCACGGAGTCTTAACCACTAGATCACCAGGAAAGTCCCTACTTATCCCTTAAATAACCACTTTCTTGTACTGGGCAAGAAAGCATGAGGTTAAACTCAGAATTGAGGAAGATCTAGTACAAATGGTAATGGGAAATATGTACCCATTTAATTTTTTAGGCCTGCTTGGGGCTGGCTGTCGGCCACATTTTTCCTTGATATTTTAGGCCTCAGTTCTTGCACACTTTCTTCCTCTCAGTGGCAACCAGACCCCTTAACGTCCTGGCACCTTCATGCTTTCGCCCTCCCCATCAAAATCTATCCTGCAGAAAGGGTCTAGCAAATTCACTCACAGTAAGGCATAAATGACTGATAAGGATTAAAATTTACTTCCAGGAGCATTTGTATTTGAACAGGAGACAAAAAAAGGAATGGCTCTATAATGGTGGAACTTCACACAGCAGTAAGTAGTGTGGAGAAGTGAAACAGATGGGGAACCAAGGTGCTTGCCCAGTGACCTCAAAATTATATCCTATAGGATTGTTATGTTTTTCTCTGATTGTTATATATTTTAGGGCTGTGGGCAAGGGTGTAGTTGCAGGAATAACTAGGAGCATAGCTTCAATGGTGTAATTAGCATAAATAACATTATAATATGTGCCCTAACAAGTCGATTGTACTTAATAACTTTTTATAGTATAATTCTTCTAATTCCTACCAAAGTTTGCAGTTACTGTCTTTGAGAAACAAGTAAATAAATACAGCAGGCATCAGGCAGGAACTTTCTGAACTGTGTCAAGGTTAATAATAAATAAAATGTTATAAGTAGAGACAGGACAGCAACAGCTGTGCAACATTCTTGGAAGCAAGGATTTTGATAGCATGAAGTCAGACAGTGAGCTCAGTTTTTGCTGCTACTCTGGGTGAACACAGAATCCTTGTCATAATTATAAGGAAAACTGCATTTCTCTTATAAATTACAACTGTTTGGCACTTAAAATGTGATGTCTGTGGCTGGAAAATCAGGAGCAATGTTGGTGGAAGACCCAGATCAAACCTATGAGAATGTCCTGGCT